GCCGCCGCCTGTGGTGGGGTGCCCCCGGCCGCACGCTCCACGCCGTTCTCGGGCACCTCGAGGGCGGCAACGACCCGCCGTTGACGTACCCTGCCGCTCCAGTCCGGAGCGGCGGCCAATGGATGCCGAGGAGGACGGCGTCCTCTTCTTCCTCCTCCCACTCCTCCTCACGCTCCTCCGGGTCGCCGGCGCTGTTCAGCATCAAGGCCGAGTTCGCGGAGACGCCACTCAGCCGGCGCACCCGCAGCGCCGGGATCGTTATCAACGAGGCGGGCGCGCCTCCTCCTCGGCTCCTCTACAGGTACCTAGTTAAATACTTCCTTTTCAAAACTATGACACTTATTTTAGATCGAAGGGAGTATGAAATATGAAAAACAGAATCTTAGACGATGTAAGAAAGGAACCTAAAATTACAGCCAAAATTCTGGAAATTAAACTAAATGCATGGTCCAATCAAGATTCAATCACAGTTGAAACTTTGAATTGTGTTTATGGCACGGTTTTGTATACTTAACTGACGTGTTTCATTGTAACAATACAAAAAGAATCTCTGGAAGATCTCAAGCGCGGATCAGATGATGATGTCAAGGGGCTCCTCTCACTCTATGAGGCTTCATACCTTGTGTTCAGAGGCGAGGAAACATTGGACAAGGCAAGGGCATTTTCTAAGAAAGCTCTCATAAATCTCTTGCCATCCTTGGATCACCACTTGCGGTGCAGTGTAGTTCGTTCTTTGGACCTTCCATTGCACCAGAGGTCTCCTAGGCTAGAAGCAAGATGGTTCATAAATCACTATGCTAGAGATGAAAGCAATTCCGACCCTTTGCTCGTTAGATTTGCAACGAAGGACTTCAACAATGTTCAAAGTGTGCATCAGGAAGAACTCGCAAGACTGGCAAGGTAATTCTGCGTGAAGAAATGTTGTCGATGGGTTTTTAAGACATGAAAATTGACATAATTAATTGTAGGTGGTGGAAGGGAACCGCCCTTACTGAAAAATTGGGGTTCGCCAGGGATCGTCTCATGGAGTGCTTCCAATACGCAAATGGAATTGTGTGGGAGCCAAATAATGGAGCATGTCGAGAAGTGCTTGCTAAAGTCGCCAACCTAATAGTTCACTTAGATGATGTTTATGATGTGTATGGAACTCTAGATGAACTTGTTCTCTTCACTAACGCCATTGGAAGGTAACTATATGCAGCGGTGCACTTCTCATAATTCAAGTAATATTCTTTTCCTAGAGTTAACATATATATGACACGTTAGTTTCACATTAAATGAAGCTTAATAAATAATTTCAGATGGGAAGAAAGTCCTTGTGAAATGCTCCCTGAATACATGCAAGCACTCTATTCCGTCGTGTACAACACGTCCGCTGAGGTGGCTGAAAATGTGTTTAAACAACATGGTTGCAACACCCGTTATGTTCTTCAGAAAGCTGTAAGTTCATATACACAATCAACTTCCTAATAGGAGATAGATTAATCCACAAGGAACCATAATAATTTCTACTTGATTTTGCAGTGGCGAGACATGGCGGAGTCTTTCCTGGTGGAGGCAAAGTGGCAGCATGGAAACCACAGACCAACACTCCATGAGTATCTGGACAATGGATCAATTTCATCTTCTGCGCCACTGCTACTGCAACATGCATTTCCCCTGCTCCGCATGGAAGAAAAGCTCACCTCAATGTCTATTGCTAAAGTTGGAGGCTACCCAAAATTAGTTCAGTCTGCATCGTTAGTTCTTCGCCTCTGCAACGACTCTGCAACCCACTCTGTAAGGACAATCAATCCAACTTTTTTTGTCCCTTGATGTTTCATCACCAAAATTTTAATCTTATGTGAGGTGTCTTATGATATTTATTTCCATGTGTATTTTGTCAAAATATGTATAACAGGCTGAGCTGGAGCGAGGGGATGCACCATCATCAATAGCTATTCACATGTCCGAGAACAGCTCCAGTGAGCAAGAGTCCCGCGAAGCCATGGAAGATCTTACCATGGAAGCCTGGAAGTCAATTAATGAAGATGCATTCAAACATTGCCGATTTTCTAGATCTTTCGCCAAGACTTGCGTGAATTTGGCTCGAATCTCACATTGTGTTTACCAAGGCTGCGATGGTTTTGGTGCGCCGGATGGTCAGAACAAAAGGCAAATTAAAGAGTTGTTCTTGGACTCTATCATGAGTGAGAAACATTAAACGGTGGGAGACACATATCTTAGAAAGATGCTATATAGGCTTAATTATCTGTAGGTATTGATTCTGATTCTGTGTTATACTACTAAAACTCTAGAACCAACACTAGCTGGTTGATTAAATGGCACCATTTGGTGGTCTTGATTTACAGTGCTTAGTGCTCCGTAACAAGATGTGACAAGTTGTTAGAAATTTTCAGGATTCATAAAGTACCTTCACACTTATTTTAACCTTGCTTCAAAAAGAAAGTACTGTGACTACCGAGCCATTCAAGAACACAAAATGCCTGAGCGACAACCAGAATTAAAATGTTTTCATAGTTGAGTCCCAGATCAAGGATAACAAACACCATTTCATCCAGAGACATCTCAGAGCATGGGGTTTTACACATTATGGTAGAAATAGGCAGCCCAACATCATCAGCTGTTAGAATACTTCAGCTACACATGTCAATCACTGAGTCAGGGGTTGTTGCGTCTTGTCTGATCTTGAATAGAGGCGCTGATAACTGAATTTAAACTGGGCAGTGTCTGAACTTGAGCATCAACTTCGACAACTAAGCATCTTCCAGCATCTAGGCGCAACCTTGCACTGATACACCGCTACATTTCTAAACAAGGAGAAACAATTTTGTGCTCCTCCCTACTCGACACCGGACAACCTTTGTCGAACCTCAGACTGGCTCAGTTCAGTATTGACGCTGAAAATCAACATTAACACAAATTAGGACGTCTAAGAATGATGGGGTGTGATAGTAGCTAGTTCAACATTTATGCATCAGATATGAAATGTTTACCAGCAGAGAACATCTCCATTTCTTGCAGTCTTCTCAGAGATCCACTCTGGAACAAACTCTAGCAGCAGTCTCACTTGCTCTTCGACTTCACCTGCAGATTTAGTAGTTCAACATCAGGATTCACATTGCAGTCAATAAGCTGAAGCGACACAAAGATAGAAAGCACAGATCACACTTACCCTTGTCCACGATCTTTGGGTTACTTTCGATTATCTTGTGGATGAGCTCCTGCTTTGTCAGTACAGTTCGCTGCCTCGACTGATAGATAAGGAAGATAATGTCAAAGGTGCTTGGCAGACATGATATGAGCTTCTGCCGCTGAACCTGGTCTGCATAGCCTGTTTCCTTCTCCTCTAAAGTTCTCTTCTCCTTCTCCTTTACCTGTAAATAACAGTGTCATCCTTTGTTCACAGAGGAGCAAAAATGAGTTGACCAATGATCAGTATGAGTAAGAACTTACCGACTGCAAGAGGGACTTTGGAAGGAAACCGAGCAGCTCATCATCGCCATCACTTGGAGATGTGCTGCTCATGCTTTGGTTCTCTTCTTCCATTTTGCTTGCATCCTTTGTAGGTGTCATGAACAACTTCGCTCTAGCTGATCGCTTGACCGTTTTTAGAGGTGGTGTGTCACACACAGTAGCAGATATTGGCCTCTGTGGGGTCTCAAGGTTCGGTGTGCCTGCCATTGATCTCACTGGTGTGGAGGCGAACTTGGCAGGAGTCCCTTCCGTAACACCAAACCTGAGTGCAACATCCTTGCTACTTTTCTCTTGCACTTGGGACTCATGATCTATGCCACCAGAAGTAGAATTGAGCATCAACTTCCTGCCCAATGGAGATGGAGTAGTAGACTCAGCCTTTGGCGGCAGACCGGTTGTGCTGGCAGTTGCAGGGCCGGTTGAAGATCTCTGTGAGAACCTTCTCTTGAAAGACTGGGACATGTGCGACAGTGCAACAGCCGGCTGTTCAGCCAGGCTTGGTGATGGCGCGGCAAATACAACTTCAGTAACAACTCTTGGTGTGCTCTGAGCCACACTTGATTTTGTTTGAGTAAATGGATACGGCAGCTCATGCTCCGGGATGTCATCTCCCTGAAAGATAAATTACAGAGAGAACATCAATACTTCAGATCAACTAAGCATACACCAACTAGTACATTTCCTTGACTAGCACCAGTAATCATACAGTTACTGAACTGTTCTCATATGACAATAAATTTGCACAAGTAACTATGTTGAAAGTGTGACAGATACAAGATGATCATACCTCAGGATGTTTCCTGAAGAAGTCCACAAGCCTCTGCCTGAACATCCTTCTCAAAGCAGAGTAGCGGGTTTCCCCCTTCTGCATCACACTGTCCTCAACTGAATCAACCAATAGGTTCACCTGAAGATCTGGCTTCATGCAGCAAGTCTTGTCGTCGCGCAAAAGGATCTTGTTGATGACAATAGCCTCAGGCATAATGTACTTGAGCTGTGCGAGATGGCCATAGGTAAACCTCCTGCAGACAGAATTGTGTAAATTAGAGACTGGATAATGTAAATCAAACAAAGCAGCAATCATCTGATTGTTTTGTCATAGGAGGGCAGTACCTCTCAGCCAAGTTCTGAATGCTAGCGCAGATGTTGGGGAATGTCGCCTTGGATCCCTTCATGCGGAGGAGCCGGGTGGAGCTCTCGAAGCAGTTGAAGAACTCGCAGAGAATCTCATAGCTGATCATCAATCAATGAAATAAAGCAAATTAGAAAACAGAACTGGTGCAGTAAAAATATTCTGGAAATTATCAGGGTTAATTTTGCATCCAGATAATGATTATAATCGACTGATGTCAGTTGCAGTAAATTGCATCACAGAAATAAAATATACAGATTGTTCTTGGCTTTACTAAAACTATGATTGTCTGAAACTAAGTAAAAGGATTCAATTTGGGGGCACAAACAAGAAATCGGACTAGATCCATCGCTAATCAGAGAAGACGTTTGCATCCTTGGAATGATTATAATGTCAGTTGCAGTAAACTGCATCACAGAAACAATATGTACAGATTCAATGATGGTCTGAAACTAAGTCAGGATTCGGTGGATATCGGACTAGATCCAACGTTAATGAGAGAAGATGTTTGCATCCTGAATGATTATAATGTTAGTTGTACAGATTGCTGTTGGTTTTACTAAAACGATGATGGTCTGATATACAAAGTACTGAAAGGATTGAATTTGGGGGCACAAACAAAAACTTGGACTGGATCCAACAGTAATCAGATAGTAAGATGTCTGCATCCTTTGAATGATTCAGTTTCAGGCGAAGTAATCGATGATCGATGATGGTTTTATTAGACTAGTGGCGATCTGAAACTAAGAAGACAGGACTGGATTTCATGGGCGTAAACAGGAGATGAAACTGTAAGTGCCTGGATCTGTGACAGTTACCTCTCCGGCAGCTTGACCTCGGGCCTGCGCTTGACGGGGCTGCGGCCGGCGCCGGCGCCCACGCCGAGCTCCCGCGCGACGGACTCGAGCGCGTCCTCCTCCCCGGCATCGACCCCCGCCGCGGGGCCCCTGCCCGGGCGCTGCAGCTCGAGCGCCGCCCGGCGGACCTCCTTGACGGACAGCGCGACGGCGCCGCCGCTGCGGCCCCTCCGCAGCAGCGGCCGCGGCTCCGTCTTCTCCGGCGTCACCAGATCCGCCGCGGCGGCCGGCGCCGCCCTCTTCATCTTCTCCGGCGTCGCGAACTGGCAGGCCGAGGAGGGGACCGCGGCCGCCGACTTCGTCACCTTCCACGGCGACCCGGCGCTGGAGGCCGCCGTCCGGGGCTTCTTGGATGGGGTGGCGCCGTCCATCGGGAGGAGGAGGAGGTTGTGGTAGGGTTGAGCGCTCGGCGGCGGAGGGGATGGGGTGTTATGGGGGTGGAGGATCTCCAGATTAGGGAGGTGTTTATAACTTTTTTTAACCGGGTCGGGTTGGGATCGGGATCCATCGGGGGTTTTGGCGGGAGGCAACGGCGAGTCGGGATGGCGCGAAGCAACGACGGGGGTGCCACGTGGGGGTGCGGGGTGGCGTTCGCGCCAAGCCGGGGGCGCCCTTCGCGCCAAGTGCGGTGGAGGTTGCAGGGCCGAAAGAAGAGCAGAGGCCCGAGTGAGTGTGGATCCCATCCAGGTCGGCCCAGGGATAGAAGATGGACCCCACATATGTAGCACGAAACACATGGCAACTCTAAAAGTTTTTGATGGCAAGTTTAGGCCTTGTACAATACAAGTGTGTTTAGGAGAGGTGCTTAGAGAAATAAACCAGGCATCGGTGCTTATTTGTGGAGGATATACGCTTAATTAGGCGTCTTTCCTGTAGAAATAGGCACTGGTACTTCAGAAAAACCCGATTTATTTTTCTAAACACCTCACTAAGCATCTAACATTGTACAAGGCCTTAGTGACGTGAGGATGACAATTTTGGTTGTCAAGTATGGCAACTTTCATTTTAAATGACAAGTTTCAGTTTTTCCTTGGGTTTGTTTTTTCTTTTCGGATGGCAACTTTAGTTGGGTGCTTTGTGCCACACGTGTGGCATTTATCATTTGAGTAGAAGAAGGAAGCTATGGTTGAGGCCCAGACCTACTTGCCTGTCAAAGTGAATCAAATACATTGAAGAAGAAATTGTACGCGCAACAGTGGCGCGCGATGTTCCTTCCTTGGTGGTGTTGCCTGAGTGCCCATGGAGGCCACTGAAGAGGGTGGTAGAGGTGGTATCCGAGCGCCGAAACGAGAAACCGGCGTTCACACGAGCGGGAGCGGGCCATCGCCCATTAAGCTTCGCTCGCTCGATGTTTGTCCGTTCGCTCAACTCGTCTTTCTCGGTCTTGTTTCTTTCTCATCTCTGTTGTGCAACTGGTTCAAGAAAAAAGATTTTTGTGATTGTGAATACTTCCATGAAATAAAAAAAAGATCACGGGTTATATGATAAAAATTGTATGATAAAGTTTTATATTAAAGTTTGTTGTTGTTATAATAATATGCCTGATGCTTCTATGTCCCTAATTTGTTTTTCTCGACACCTCTCTCTCTCTAAGCATGTGGAAATATTTTTTTATTTTTGTTTTCGCTTGAGGACAAGCGAGGTATAAGCTTGGGGGAGTTGATACATCCATTTTGCATCGTATTTTCCTACTGTTATTTATAATTTTTTTATGCATAATAATGCTTTATGGAGTAATTCTAATGTCTTTACTCTCATAATATGCAAAGGTTTACACAAAGAGGGAGAATGACGGCAGCTGGAATTCTGAACTTGAAAAAGCTACGTCAGAGTTACCTATTCTGCACATCTCCAAATGAGCTGGCACAAATATATGGTAGCTCGGTCCTAAAAAAATGGTAGCTCCGAAAGTTTTTTATGGCTAGTTTAGTGACACGGGCATGACAACTTTAATTGTCATGTATGGCAACTTTCATTTTAGATGGCAAGTTTCAGTTTTTTCTTGGGTTTGTTTTTTCTTTTCGGATGGCAACTTTAGTTGCAAAAAATGTCAGGGCCGGAGTGCTTTGTGCCACACGTGTGGATATTATTTGGGTAGAAGAAGGAAGCTATGATTGAGGCCCAGACCTACATGCCTGTCAAAATGAATCGAATACATTGAAGAAGACAATGTACGCGCAACAGTGGCGCGCGGCGTTCCTTCCTTGGAGGTGTTGCCTTGGTGCCCATGGAGGCTACCGAACATGGTGGTAGAGGTGGTATCCGAGCGTCTCATCAACGCTTGTAGTGCCGAAATGAGAAACCGGCTCTCACACAAGTGGGAGCGCGCCGTCGCCCATTAAGCTTCACTCGCTTGATGTTTGTCTGTTCGCTCAACTCGTCTTTCTTGGTCCTGTTTTTTTCTCGTCTCTGTTGTGCAACTGGTTCAGGCAAAGTATTTCTTTGATTGTGAATACTTCCATGAAATAAAAAAAAAGATCACGGATTTATCAAATTTTCACCGGTTTAAAAAAAGTTCATGAGTTTGAAAAGGTAGATAAATTTTAAGAATAAATCCGAAAAATAAAAATTTGGAAAAAGATCAATTGAAAAACTCATAAATTTGGGGAAAATCACATATTTGAGAAAAGTTCACAAAAAATCAAAATTTCTCTAAATTTAGAAAAGTTTGTAAAACTTTAAAAAGGGCAAGAATTTGAAAACATATTCATGAATCTGATAAAAAAATCAATAATTCAAAAAAGGTTCATGAATCCAAAAAATCATGAATTTTAAATAGTGTCTGAATTTGAAAAGTATTGCATACCTGAAAAAGTTCATGAATTTGAGAAAATTTCGCAGTGAAAAAACTTGAGAAATTTTAGAAAAAGTTCATGAGTTTGAAAATAGATTCATGGATTCTAAAAAATTGCATGAATTAAATAATGTTCATGAATTTTAAAAAGACCGTGAACTTGAAAAGGCATTGCTAATATGAAAAGGTAAAGAAGAAAATCTAAAAAGACAAAACCAAAACAGAAGACCATAAAAATGGTTGGAAAGCTTCTACAAGCTTCACTTCACAAAACTGGCAGGAAGCTTGTAGAAGCTTCACAAAACCAAACGGTGCAAATGCTTCCGCAAACGAAAAAAGAGAACCCATGGACCGGTCCATCTCAGGGCCGAGCCGGCAAAATCAGGGGCCCTGTGCCAGACTTTAAAATGCGGCCTTCTCTATAAAAACAACAATAGTATACCCATGCCTAGTCTTGGCACATGCCAGCCTCTCGTGCAATTTGATAAAATGAGGCCTCTCCATGTAGATATTTTTAGAAGGCTTGCTTATATTTCAGTGAAAACTACAATATTGAACATATCATATAAATATTATCTTCGCTCATTAGTTATACTACATAATAACTGGATGGAAACTAATCATCATCTTTATTATGACAATGTTGAATTGAAGAGAACAGCTAGTACATTTTTTTTGATGTACCCAGACATATACTTTGTATGTGGCATCTTAGTATGAAACATGTAACACAAACAATATGCAAATTATAAAATGAAGTTGAAGTAAAAGGACCTGAAGGATCAAGACCAGGTCTGTCGCCTGTGTCCTGTTGTGGTGTCGCTGGAAGAATGAAACCCTGCCTTAATAACATGAATCCAAATCCCACGGGACGACCTTGCCTTTCCGTTGCCCACCTTCTTGAACTCTCTCTCTCAAACGTATTGAATATGGGGATTAGGGGAGAACTAAGGGAGCGATACTATGTAATCAGATGGAGAGTAGGGAGAAAAACGAGCAAACCTAGTAGTACAATAAAAAAAATTGTGATCTTTGGGATGCCATCGTCTCGTGGTCGAGGAAGACGAGAAAGTTTTTGTTGGTGTCGTCTTGACTGCTGAATCAATCGACGCCGTGGAGGAAGAGAGGAAAAGAAGAGACCCTGAGCCGCCGCTGCAGCATGGTCACCGGAGGTTCAGATCTGCTTGAGACGAACGGTTTGAGAGGGGGGACTGTGGGCTCTCGCATCGAATCGGGTGGTCTACTGGCTGCTGCCTCATCGCGCGCACGGCCCAAAAGTGAATTAATCTACGTGCCAGCCACTGGGCCTGCTCTTGCGCAGTGGGCTGCAGTTTCGAAAATAGGGACCCCTGAAAAGTGGAGGCCCTGTGCGGGCGCACAGCAGGCACACCCATGGGCTCGGGCTCCATCTGCTACGTAGGTGTTGCAAGGGGTGTGCGCAAGTTAGCAAATAAGCCTATAAGTGGCCCCTTAAGCGCCAATAGGAGTTGGGGTGCTAGCCTCATCGGCTCCTCAGAGAGGTTTGGGAGAGTTCGTCGTTCGGTGATGGTTATTGTTGTGGCATGGGCTCTCAGGGTCCGCTACGTACGTCGTCACTGGTACCATTTGGACGACGTTTTCTTCGAGTCCGGTTGGTTCCTATTGTTCACTCGTTGATTCCTAGGTGCTATCCGTGGAGGGTGCGTTCAACCAGCTTGAGCTAAAGTCTGGGTCGTGTTGTCTTGGTGTCTGTGTATTGGTTGTGACATGGTCCTTGATCCCTGAGTCTTGCCTCCTCGCCTTTGTGGTTGGAGGTTCTACTAGGTGAGTTGTTTTGTCGTTGCGATCGTGCTGGTGTGTGTTGTTTGCTAAATGAAGTTGTATCAATCGCTTGGCCCTTCTTCTATGATGCTGGTGCACCTTTCCATTGTGTATCCTTGAAAAATCATCAGTTTGGACACAACCTCGGCCATTCATTTCAAGTGGCACGTAGATGATTGTGCTCATTATCTTTCTCCTAAAAAGGAGATAAAAATTTTGGGTGTGGGAGGGGATGGTTTTTTTTTTGAAACATCAACACTTTATGTCTCAAATAATCGCAAGGTCATTTACAAGGGCATGAGAAATAAAATCTGGGAATATAGAGTCCCAAAAACTAGAAGATCTATCACCAAAATGAGTTCCTTGCAAGATCATTTGCAACTTCATTTGCTTCCCGCATGCAATGGGTATACGAGACATCTGCAAACTCCAGTGCTAGCTCTTTGCATTCAAGAGAAGTGGCTACGTCCGAGCTGTTGGGAATATGCCCTAGAGACAATAATATTGTATTATTATATTTCCATTATTCATAATTAAGAGTTTATATTTCATGCTATCACTGCTATGATCCTAGAATACGCGATTCAGTCGAAAACTCATATGCACGTGTGAAATGATAAAACGGTCAAACAATAGGTTTCCGGTCCAGCCTCTAGGACTGGTTCGAGTGTTGTTGTTGATCACGTTTTCCGAATCTTAGGATATCGTCAGGTGTAACGGTAGTCCTAAAACAACATTGAGGGTATAATGTTAGAAGAACTATCATATTGAATCGAC